GGGCATGAGGAACCTGCCGGTCCTCCTCCTCCTCCTCTCCCTCTGCTGGAGCCCGGGGCGGGTAAGTCACCCCGCGCTGTCCCCCGGCCCCGGGAGGTGACCCCTGCGGCTCTTCTCGCCGCCCCCCAGCCCTAAGGTGGCAGCGCGGACACCCCCCCTCCGTTCCCTCCCGGTTCTCCCGGAGCGGGGGCGGCGGCGGCAGCAGGTGCGGAGACTCCGGCCCCGCCGCGCTCACTTCGGGAGACAAGCGACGGCCGCCGCTCGCCCTCACCGGGTGTCCCGGGGCGGGCATCGGGCAGGGCAAGGGGGGTCCTGGGACCCCCAGCTCGTCTCCGCGCCGCCCCTCCTGAGCCGGGCTCCCCGGCCGGCAGCGGGGGGCGCCGCCCCGGGCGCTCCTCGGGGGCTGCCACGGCTCCGCCCCGGCGGGGCAACGCGGCCCGGACCGCTCCCCGAGCCCGGCGGAGCCGGCGCTGGGCCGGGGGCTCCTTCTCCGCGATCTCGGCTTGGCCCGGCAGCCGGTGCCCACCGCGAGTCCGTCAGGAGTTTTCAGAGGGCGCTGCCCCGGAGCGGGTGATTAGCGGTCACCGTCAGTGTGGGGAGAACCCGCGGGGTTAATTTCTCATTAATGCGTGCGGCCGGATAACAGCGCACCAAGCACTCAGAATATTGAAGTCTTCAAATTGAGCGCGTCTGCTTTTGACATCTTTATATTTTTAAGCGTTTCTTCAGTTATTTGTAAAAATCTATAACGTTGCTGGAAATGTCATTTTTGAAAAATTAAATAAAAAAAAAAATCTCCCCTTTAAATCTTTCCAATTTTTTGTTGCTGCAAACTTTAAATACCAGATCTTTTCCACCAAAAATGAGGAAACTGACTTCTGTTTGTCAGAAGAAACAGTTTTTTTGGTCAAACTGCTGCTCTGGATGCTTTAAAAATTGTTAAGCCACTAAAACCACAGAGAGTCCTCAGCTGGATTTCCAGCCAGCTGTGTACTTTTACAACGCTCAGCACAGCACACACGGTTCTGCTTTCAGTGGTTACAGAGGGTAACCCAGCCTTGGTAAAGCAGAGGGAAAGGTGGATGAGCACCAGCCCTGAAAGGTGGTGAGTGCTCTCAAAATCCATTCTGGGGTTCTTGGTGTGTTTCGGGATGTGGTCAGTGCCACCAGTCTTGAACACTCTCTGGCTTGGTAAAGTTCATCTGAATGAAACTGGGGTATCTATATCACAGTTTGACATGTGTGTCAGGCTTGAAAAATAATGTTGTGTTACCTTTGGGTACTAACAAATTGATGTTCTCAAAGTAACCTTCGCTATTAGATAACTAATATTGAGAAATTTGTAGTTCTTCTGTAAGTGGGAGAGAGAGAAGTCACTTCTTTGGCAGGTTCCTTAATTGTAGTAGCTGCTTTCATTCACCCCTCATGTAGTTAACATTTCCATTTATTGGAACCTACCTTTCCAAGACCCAGAAATTATAATACTTTTTGATGAGTAAGAGATCTACTCTCAGTTACCAAATGTTTGCAGTTGGAAAAAAAAAAATTCAGAATCTGTTATGTGAAAGGAAAATGCAATTAAAAACTTTATGTATACATGAGACTTTATTTTACATGGGAGCTATCTGGAAAGTAGATAATACATACCAAAACACAGATACTCTCAATGTAATGCTGAACTTTATTATAAGTGCTAGAAATCCTACTTTATGTCTAGAAATCATAATTTACATTAAGGATCTATACAAATTCACTTTACAAAGAAAAAAAAATCTACCTTGGAAACATATAGTTTCAATTGTAAATATAGAGAAAAGAATTAAGGTTCTGGTGTTGTCAGTGGTGATATAAGACATTTGGAGAAGAGACAGATTTTAGTGAGTTTTCATAACAGCTCCTGCTGTTATGTTTATGAATATTAAGCTGTATTTTTAAAAGCTGCGCAAGTGGCTTGCCCACAAGGAGACTGCAGAATAAGCAGGTTCTCAGTCCCAGCTCTGGGTCTTAGGTTCTGGGTCCATCATAGCTTAGTTAAGTATTGCCACTTAAAAAAAAAATCAGATACTATTATCAGGTTCTCTACTAAATGTCTCCTAGGAAAAGTAAGAGAGAGAAAAGGGGAGAGAAGCTTGGAGAGACAGCACCCTTTTCTTGGTTCTACAAGTGTGAGGGTGACAGAAGTACAGCAGAGTCACATTTTATTTCATTATGATGTTATTTTCTTCGAGCTAATCCCATTGTCCCTTCAGCTCTAGTGGTGTTTCCTATTTTACATTTCTCACCTACTACAGTCATTTTTCCCTTGCAGTGTGTTAGGGACTCTGCATGTTTCTCTGTTAGGCTCTGGCTGCCTCTGAGTCCAACTGACTCCAGTACAACTTCCCGGTGTCTTGTTTCTCTCCCCAATACTGCTACATCCTTGTCTATTCCCATGGACATAAATAACCCCTCCTGAAAACCAAGGAACTGGGGGCAGGGCTATAAATGGGTAAAGGCTTTCATTTTGAAAGGAATGGGGCTTTCTTCCTACGAAACACTTGCTTACATCAAATAATCATGCTCTGGGACCTTCAGGAGGTAAAATATACATGATGGAAAAGGGAAGAAGAGCAAAATTTACCATGTCAAAGAGAACGCAGTTTGATCGGGTTTTATGTTCTGTGATTCACATGAAGCTTTCAGCTTCCTAACTTACTATGAAAGAGGAAAAAGCAAATGTGTTTCCTTTTCCTGCTTCAGTTTAACTCAGTTTTTTCTGGAGGAAAAGGTCTCTTGATACAGTATTGATGAATGCACTAAAAAGTTAAATATTTTCTTGTAAATTATAATTGGCCTTGAAATGCTACAAGAAGGAGCCAGTGAAGGCTCTAGTAGATTGTTTTAACATTTTGTTTTGAAAATTCAGCATGTTAGAAGCTAAAATGGGCAATGACTGTATTTTTAAATACCTAGTGCATACTTGGGCAAAACCTATGCCCCCTTAAGTTGTGGATTTCTTTACTGGTAGTTGCATCATTTGTAAAGCATTTTAATTCTTGTTTCAAGACCCTGGCCTGTTTGTTAATTTGACACAGGTGAATGGTGTTCATCCAGAATGCAGGTTTCATCTGGAGATTCACAAGGAGGAAACAAGGTGCATGGAACTGCTGAAGACTGCAAAGCCAGTGGACAACAAAGGTAAGGAAAGACAAGCTGTAATGTAGAGACAAGGGGAGCATTCAAGATTTTTCTCCCGTTACCTTCTTTGCTGTTGTGGTTGCAGTTGCTGTATTTGTCTGTACTGTGCTTATAATTTTGGTGTATTTTAGAATTTATGCAGATTTTGTGTTAAAGGTGCAGCAAGCGTGTTGTGAAGGGTGTGCCAGGTGTTGGTGGGACACTGGATGGGAGCAAATGCATTCTTGTGTTTCAAGCTGTTGCGGCCAGTATTTTCTGACTGGCAGAGAAGCTGCAGGGTGGTGATGGCAGTACCAGAAGAAAGAACAGCTCTTGAGGAAAAGCTGAAAGCCTTGGATTCAAGCACCTTTCTCTAGCTATGGCTGAAAGTAAAGTACTAGTGGCAGGAATGATCTCTGGGTTTCCCAGGCAGGTGTTTCAGATCTTCTGTTTTGGAAGGCCAGATTTACCCCCAGAGAACCAGAGTCATGCAAAGGAAAAACTGGACAGTAGTGTTATATTCAAAAAAACAGATTCTCTATGTTACTTTTTTGTTTTTATTTTATCTCTAGATAGAAAGATAAACATAGAGATAGAGATATGGCCGATTGTAATTTAATACAGGAAAGAAGGAAGAGCAGATGTAGTTTATTATATTTTTTATTTTAGATTTTACTAGATTTCCTTGCTACATTTTCACAAGAGTGAAAATTAAGAATAAGATCTTATTTTTCTTGTAAGTTGGAGTTGTTGATAAAGCTGTTTGTACAGCAAGCAAAATAGGAAGGCAACAGATAAATCCATACAGCCAAATGAAAAGCAAATATGTAACACAAAGTAGCTAGGGCAAAACTTGTTTAACAGTCTTTGGCTTTTTAGGAAAGTTGGAAGTGTGTATTTATTAATTTAATTTAATTTTTTTAATGACAAAGGTATTAGTGCTGTATCATTAGTATCTTTTGTAAACCCTATGCCAGAACTTGTGAGAAGAAAACAGTCTCTACTCACCTACTGGTGAAAAGGTAAAAATGCTTCTTGGAGTGGTTTTTTTTTGCATATGTTTCCTGCCCAGCACTCCTCTGGTAACATGTGAGATGTGGAAGGGAAGGATGGGCTTTCATTGAGACTTAGAAAAAAGGGAGAGAAATTTTAGATCTAAAGGCAACTGAACATTTTTCAGTTCAAAATACAATTTTACAAAGTAATGTCACACCTAAACCTAAACATTAAATTTCGGTTGTCAAATGATCTTTAAGTGGCTGGAAGTATTTAGTTTCAAATTAGTTCTTCAAAGCCCTAAGCCTCATCAGCGTCCAGCCTTTTGATACAGTAGTCCAGGTATGTATCATCTCGGAATAACTGGAGTCCTTGGAATATTACAGCTCTTGCAGTGCAGTTGTTTTCCTTGTTTTCCTTTGGCTGAGCTAGGTGATACATAGTATATTTGTTTTTTCATATTCAGTCGATTTTGAATGTGCTCTGAAGATGATTATGGTACCTCAGGGACCTGCCATCTGCAGTGCCCTTTGAGCATAAACATGAGTCCCAACTCATGATGCTTTATCCACTTCTCTTCTTGATTTAAATGCGTAACTCCCTCAGTGCATGCTCTAATATAAATTTGTATACAATAAAATAATTAAAAGGTTCAGCAACAGTCTGTATTTTACTATAATTTCTCCTTTTGATTAATCCAGATCAGTAATTAGAAAAACTGTAATAACAGTGAATAATTTACATGGATATCTCTCCAAGCAAAATCTTACTGGAATAATTAATCTACTTTTAGATATTTTTATTTATATGAGTGGTAAAGAGAGACGGCTGTTATATAAATAATACTAGTGTGAAGCCAGATGGAGAAATAATTACTAGCCCAGCTTAATGAATTAAATCTTGAATTAATAAATTCACTATTAGCTATTATACTGCTTTGAAAGTCAAGCTTTCTTCAAGATCCACTTCTGTGATCCAGATGCTGGGACGCTCCAAGGGTATCCTTGTGATGCACACCAGTTTTATTTTCAGTTCCCTAGGGGAAGAAAGAAGTTTTCTGTAAATATTTTCTTCGCAGCCTCTTTTCATTGGAAGGGGGGTGCCTCCTGAAGGCTGTAGAAGAACTTCATGTCTTGGAAGGAGACGGTATGTCTGATGGTGTTGATTTAGCCCTGCAGGTAGTGATAAAACAGCAGTGGAAGGATTTATAAATTTAATTGAATGCCTGGCTGAAACTAAGGGAATATTCCGTTTTGTAGGAATGGGAATAAAGTCCCTCTGGTAATGAACCCTTAAAGACTATGTGTTTAATCTTACGTCAGAATTTATCCTATGCTTCATGTTATAGATACTTTTACCAAAAACCTGTTCAGAAGTGCCTACATTAAATATATGCGTTTTCATTTCCAAAAATATCTATTTTCTATGCATCCTTATTTTCCTAATAAAGTCTCTGTATTCATACAAAAATGTAAGCAGTATTTTGAACAGAGACTTGCAGATTTGCACAGTGGTACTCCGACTCCTGATAATGAAGAATTACTAATGAAAATGGGCAAGCTGGAACTGGTCCAACCCAGCTCCATACCTAAAACTTGTAGTACACTTGAAACATAATTCTTTACAATAAATTCACAAAACTGGGAAATGGAAAAGATGGTAATACAGCCCTTTTCATGCTTTTCTAACTTCAGTATGTGCTACCTGTCTCACAAAAGCTATAATGAAATCTAGTGAAAGTCCTGTCTAGAATTTGAAGTTAAAGGCTCACTGAGACTTTCTACTGGAGACTTGGGCCTCAATTATCAAAATCAGTGGGATTTTTTTCATTAACTTCTTGGGCACCTGAGAAGCCTTCACACCTCTGTGTAACATACTCCAGAATTTGACTGATAATGCACAGCTGCTGAATTTTGGAGGATCCAAATTTTATATGACAGACAGTTTCTCCTTTGGCCTAGATGGCAATTATATATTGAATACCTTACCTAATCATAGAATCATCTAGGTTGGCAGGGACCTTTAAAATAATCAAGACCAAACATTTATCTAACACTGCCAAAAGCACCACTAAACCATGTTCCTAAATACTTCTCAGCTCCTGTTTAGGGATACATAAAGGAAAGATTTAAAGGCAATTGTGGTTTGGGTGGGTTTTTTGTTACATAATGAAATGATAGTCATCTTACCTGAGCTGCCTCATAACTTGTGCTGAAGAATTTCACTGAGTAATTTTTGTAAATTTGTAAACTTTTGAAAATCATTGACTGGGAAATCTACAAATGACTTGCTTACTTCATGGCTTAATTAAGAAACAGTGTGTTTTGCAAGGAAACACTGAATAAATACTGTGTAAATATCCTTTGAATAATGCTAAGGATATATTAAAACCCCAGGACCCAATTTTCTAAATTCTGCTCATTTGCAACACCAAACTATTAGACAGCAATCTGGACCTCCTGCTTTGCACCCTTTGGGGGATTTTCAGGCATTAACACGTACTCCTCCATCAGTGGAGAGCTTTGCACTCCATTTTGGGAAGAAAGTCACTCTCCAAATATCTGTTGCAGTGTCTTCCTTTCTGTAGTGCTCTTGAGCAAATCCGTTTATTTTATGAAGACCACATTAGCTTTCATCCATGTTTATTTTCGTCTTTTCTCCTAAAATTTGACACCTGGAGTACTGATGCACCTTAACTGGAAGCCTAGGAGAGAATGTTTTTTCACACTGTCTTTTTTGGAGGGCAGTTTAATGCCACTCTGAATAGCTCATAATAGCTACAGGTTTTGAGGCCCCTATGGGAAAACACTAATTTATCTTTCACCTACTACCCATGGCTTGTCTTCTTAAAAAAATAGAAAGCTATTAAAAGTTATTAAAAATACTTAAAAAATGACCAACTGCAAATTTATGTCTATGTTCAGTATTTAGAATTTTACCTTTATAAAGTAGTTGATTCATTTCCATTCACTTTTAAATGAAAAGTGAAATCTTATGGTCAAAAATGTTAAAACTCAGTCAGTAGACTTTATAACAGGGTTCCACAATAAGAAGTTCTAAAAAGATCTTATTATGAAAAAGGAGGTCTGGGGTTTGTAGTTTTTTTTTTCATCTTGGACTGAGTGGCTGCACAGTTAAGTGAGTCTTTTCAGCTCTTGCTTTGCAAAATGTGTTTTTGTGAAACCCATGTGCCAGACAACATTTTTAATTTTAGATATGGCATCTTAACATGAGAAAGGGATGGAGATGGAAAGAGAAATGGCTTTTGAAATATTTTCATAAACCTTTCAAAGAGTCTTCATAACGCAGCTGGTAATGGGAAATTAAAACAGACAGGACTACCAAAATGATAGTCTTATTCATAAATTTAAAGCAAGCGGGACCAATGTCACTGTGCAATCTAATCTCCCAAATTACACTGCAAGTAGACTTTCACTTAGTGGTTGCAGCACTGAGCTCATAATGTTGTGGATGAAACAGAGCAGATCTTTCAGAAAGCTCTTCAGAACAGTGGGATGAGCATTCAAATGTTGGACACATGGCAAGTTATCCAAAAGTTAATTTACCTGACTAACCCCTCCTGTTAAGGTTATTTCTCCAGTGAGAAAGGTGCCTATTTTGCATTCTAAACATACACGTGCACACACGTATATATCTCTGTATTGCGCAAAAGAAGGACTGACTGTAAGTGTAACTAAGCTAACTTGATGATCACTCTCTCCTTCACATTGGTAAATAGGAGACTTACATGAAGCCAGATGAGGCCTTTCTCCTGCTATGTTAAAAGGAATCTCCTCAAGGTTCCCCCTTTCTTAATCCTCCCAATTTCATCAAGGTCTTCCGTGAGTTTTTGTTTGGTTTTGCAGCTATTTTCTCTGTTAAATGACCCAGTAGTTCAGCCTCAATGTTGCTTAGAGTTATCTGGGGTAGGATTAATAGTAGAATTAAATGAAATAGTGGGATCATGGAACTTTCTTTCATGAAGCACTGGTAGCTCTTGGAAGGACAACTTTAGTTTTCCCGAT